AATTATGATGACAATTCTCTTTAGCAAGCAATAACATAGAATATTAGTAAACATAGCAAGACGATTTCGCAAACAATGAAAGTTGAGATAAAGTATGTAATTGCTAGAATCAAGAAAGTAATAAAATGACATTATCGCATTCTTTGTTATGCAAGGTCCCTTGCACTCTAACGCTAAATATACATAAAGTAGACTTTAGAAATAATAACTTGTATCAAAATTTAGTTAGTTTGTTAATATAAAAGTAATGGTAAAGTAATGAAAGTATATCGATATGTGTCAAAACAAAGAAGTCATTAAAGCACAACACAGTTTATATCGATATTTAATGATTACCGAAGTAACATTAAATTCTCTAATTCCGTAATTTCTGCTTATAATTTCCATACGAATATCTTTCCATAATTCCCTACCGCTACGTCCAAAATTAGTAAACCAAATTTAGAAGTAGAAGTATGTACGTATTTCGTTAGAAATGAATATTATTTTTTTGTTTTTGTTTATACATGTACTGTATTACGAACATTCCATCGTAACGATTATCAAGAGGACAATAATCCCGACAACTATTTGGAAATCGAGAATATCGAACGACTATTGATGCACGTAACGATAGCGACTAAAAGGAAAGGAGAAGACAATTGTCTGGACAATAGAAAGATGTTGAGCGATTAATGCTTGATAGTTTTAGAAGATAAATTACTAACCATAGGATTAGTGTAGTAATTCAAAATTGTATATAGAAGTGTCTTCAAGTCGCTGAGAAGACATGCTTTAATGATGCTTTAATCTAATAAAAATAACAAAGTTCTTGCCAGTAATAATAATATTACTCGTGAATACACTATTACATGTATTTCGATTAAACTTCAGTGGATGCTCCTCCACTTAAAATAAGCCGTTTTTTAATAGTTTTGATTTTGTTTTCTTCGAACAGGCCGTATCAATAAGTACTGTAGAATTGATTTTGTTTTCTTCGCACAGGCAGTATCAATAAGCCCTGTCAAATTGCCTTTCACATCAAGTTTTCCTAGAGAGGCCGTATCAATAAGTCCTGCCAAACTCGTATCGATTATTCTTAAAATAAATATTTTATTATAGTAAATTGAATGCTTGTTACAAGAGTAATCTCATTCCATCTGACTCTTCCCTCCTCGTTATTTTGGAAAGGTCGATTTGTGAACAAATCGCCACGAGAAACCTCTAGAACAACCGGCGAGACCCTCCAACCGTAAACAATTCAGCCTAACTCCAACACCGTTGCAAAAAGTTCCTTGAATCGATTGATTATCGTAATAACTACAATAATCTGGTGCCCCCAACCGTCACATAATAACTCCTCATAGTTGAATATTAAAAGGAACGCAACATTACCTTCAGGATCATCTCTAAGGTTTTTTGATGCTAACAAATTAGAAAAGTATAATTTAGATTTTTTATGTGATTCTATAACGATAACGACCTATAAAAAAAGCAAGCACGTAAGTTACAAGGAATGATATGAAATGGCACGAGATGGTATGTACAAGCACGGGAAACGCGACAAATTCCGTATACATAAACACGTTTTTAGCACGGACTGTTGAATTCCATGTTAAAAACCATGACCAAACGTGTTTATTTATACGAAATTTGTCGCGTTTCCCGTGCTTGTACATACCATCTCGTGCAATTTCATATCATTCCTTGTAACTTACGTGATTTTTACGTACTTGGCTTTTTTTATAGGGCGATAACGCATATACAATTAATACATACCAGTTTCATCTAATAACGAGATGATAATGGGAGTGATTCATCATGAAGTTGTAGTTGTTCTCGAAATATCTTCATTCCCGTTAATTTCATCTAAATCTGGTTTGCAATCCAAAAGAAAAAATTAATAAAGTCAAGCAATTTTACCTTCAATACTGTAAAATGTCAATATGAATGAATTTAAACTAAAACGTACCAGTATCAATTGACGTTGAATTAATTTACTGGCAGATACTCGACTGGTGTAGACTGCATTTGGATGTATTTGTTGTTCTTGGTTCGTATTTGTCGGAACACTTTTTTGTGATATCATCTCCTCATCAAGTTTTTTTTTTGATTCCTGCCTTTCTAGTTTAACACACTCCTTAAATTTATATAATTTCTTTTCTGGCTTAAAAAAATATTTAAATTCATATGTCTGTTTTCTGAAATAAGCTCCGTTAGATGTTTAATACGAGAACATGACTCGCTATAAATATCTGCAGCTTTGGTGCATAGTTTTCCATTTAGTACCTCTAGACTCATAAGATCTATATTTGCTGGACCAGCAAGTCCAAAATCTGCAATTTCAGGATAATTAAAGATTAATAATATATTTCCAGGAAGAAATTCACAATGCACAAGTTTCTCTTCGTGAGTTTTATATAAACCAGTAATGCTAATTAAATAATCTAATTTGGGATAAGGGGGGATTTTGATCTGATTATAATTGTATTTCCCTCCTTTTTGCAGCACTCGCACCATTGGTTGTTCCAAGTTATTTTTGATAATAATAATTGGAATACTTAATATTCATATAATCCAAAAAGTAACGGCAAGTGTACTTTAGAGCGATCCAATTTTGAAACAATATGCTTACTTCGGTTGTACATGTACATGTAATTTGTTTTGAATTGTGTAATGATTTTACGTACATGAACATGTATTTGCAATGTCGTTCAAATTTATTTCTGCACTCAATTCTCCGTCCAACTAAAAGCTTCTGCAAGAAAATCAACATTGACAAATCTTTTAAAAGGGATCCATTCGAAATTCATCATTAGACTGTCAATATCTTTATCGCCGCTAGACGATTCATAAATTCGTTTGTGATATAGAAAACGTCTTCTGCAGTGTTCATTTTTTTTTGACATTTGGTATATTATTACAATTATGAGTATTGTGATCTGAACAGTACTGTACAATCATGAATATTGATGCATACCATCTTTGAGTTTATTATATTAGTGATTATGGCAGTTTTTTTATTTAAAAACGATGGTTTATGTGTGTAGGTTGTTAGTCACTTCCGTTGATGCTAGTATGCATTAAACGAGATATACGTATTTTTACTTCCATCAATGAAAAACTCTTTTAATACAACAAATGCATGTTGTAGGTGTAATATGTCGTTTTTCATGTGAAATTCTTATGCACATTAACATAAATTGATGTTCTATGAAGATATAACGATAAGAATGGTAATTCGCTTCATCCAGTTTTACGGGGCAGAGATACAGTTCTCTATTTATATTTCATGTGAGATGATAGCAAGTAAACGATAAACATACGCGATAAACATAAATAAAAATTATTTTTTTTAGGATTTTAAAATCCAGTTAGGTACATGTCCTTTCTATTGAAAATCAGCCAATCATTTCGGTCAGAAAACTTTTGATACATGTACCAAAGCACAACAATCAAGAAAAAAATCAAAAATCATATATTACAAAACTTTACTACGCTAACTACATTTCTATAATTAATAAAAATATTCACATAAGATTTAAATATATTTCTAATAGTTAATGGGTAATATATTAAGATGAAAAACAAACAATTGTTAATATCTCGAAATTTACAATTATAATTATAATTATAATTGGACTCTTAAAGAAAAATACTTAGCACAAAATTTTAGACATACAGTCGTCCCTCATTGTTATCAACATCACGAGACCGGGGCTATTTTGTTGATATATACGAGGGTGGATAACTACAGGGTTTATAGTTAAGATATAATTTGGTATCATTTGAAATCTGTTCTGTGACGAATGTTGCCAACAACAGGTGTTGATAATAACGTATTCACATTTTTCGCTAAATGTTTATTAGATAAACAAAGGTTAGCACCTTTATATTTAGATTTTTAAGGCTAATAAATTTATCTGTGATATCAGAAACACTAACATCAACTTGGTATTGACAACCAAGGAGAAAAAAAAACGTAGAAAAATATAGTTACATTTAAGCATGTGGTCAGAAGAATGGTACATAGATATTTTCTAAATTATATAGATGATTTTGGTTTTTTATTATTCCATTTTTTTGTATATAACCAATAAAAATTTTATAAAAACGCATTAATCATATAGTACAGGAACTCATATGTTTTCATGTTAAAACTTCTATCAACTTCTTACCTAATAAGTAAATCCGAAATTTAACCAGTAATATTATAGAAAAAGTCTTTCTCGATAATATTACCGGTTAAGTTTTGGATTTACTTCTTAGGTAAGAAGTTGATAGAATTTTAACATGAAACATATAAGAGTTCCTGCACCATATAAAAAATTTTGCCTGTAACAAAATAGTGCACGAATATAGGCAGTTATCCCTTATACCTTTTCTTCCATTGTACCTCTGGATCTAAATCAATTTATACATGGTAGAATCCCAGGTGATTTATATGATGTTTTACGGTACTCTAAAAAACAACATAAAACTAAAATTTGGGAGAATAAACTTTATGAATAAGATTGATAATAAGTAAACTAAATCAAAGTCTGTATTTAAGTTTTAACCGTAAATATTTTTAGACTCTAACTAATAAAGTATATAGTAAATTAGTATACTAAACTATTTTCTTGCAACAAAAGCAACTTATTGTTATTGGGATGTTCATATTTATTCTCTTTGATTTCATGTAGTATACTAAAATCGAAATATGTTTTAAACCAACAAAAAAAATAATGGAAATAATGAAAAATTGATTTTTTCACCAAAAAATATTTTAAGAGATTATTTTAACTAATTAAAAAGCTAACTGTAGGATTAGAATAAATTATAATAAGTCGTGATTGAGCCAAGGAATATTGATAAATTTTACGTTCATTTAAAGATACATGTACAAAGTTTATTTAAGTGAATGAATTCTAAGAATCTACTATGCATTTAAAATATCATAGATACATCCTATTAAAAACGCTTTTTAACACTAATTCGAATGAATTGACTAAATTATAGCACAAAATAAAAAACCAGACCTATGGTTTAATTAGTGATTGCAACCGGCTTTTCCATTGACTCCATAAATGCCCATTATTTAGAATGCTTCGATATAACCGAAAAGTCTGATGTAAATCTCTTTTTACACCCATACCATTAGCCGCATTTGAAGCCAAAGAGAACAAACAACTATTCTTCTTCGTAACAAAAACGTTACAATCATTGGCATCCTTCCACATCCAGTAATCGGCACCCTTCCACATCCAATAATTCGCTTTTCGGTAATCCTTCTTGATCCATTTACCACTTAAATACATTTTCGCGAGTTCAAATTGCGCAAGTTCGTTCCCTCGATTTGCCGCAACCTGAAACCATTTGAATCCCATCTCGAGATTTTGCTCGGTGCCGGTTCCGTTACAATAAAATAATCCCATGTTAAATTGTGAAATTAGATGATTATTTTCTGCGGCTTTTTTGAACCATTCAAATGATTTGACACTATCAGCCTCTACACCGAGTCCTAGACGGAAGCACCAAGCTACTCGCGACTGTCCATAATTTATCCCACTTTCAGCTACGTAAGAGTAGTATTTGAAAGCGGTAACTGGATCTGCGTCTGTTCCCAGTCCGTAATGGATAAGGTATCCAAACAGATATACGAATTCTGGATTATTTGCGTGATGACGTTCGACGAATTTGAAGATTGTTTTGATGTCTCTATTGGTTTGGTTTATCCATTTTTCTAAACCGTCAACTACATTTTGATCGGGCTGTCCGGAACTTTTTAGGGCTAATAATTTATTTAGTAGTTCTTTCATAAAGCCAATGTCAATGGCTGTGTTTTTATTAATATTGTCAATGGGTATTGTGTCTTTGGAATTTTTATTATTATTCATTTTTCAAAAATTTAAAAATCAGTTATTATGATAACGATGATAGCCAAAGGCTGCGGCAAATACTTGCAACAGTATGCGTATAACGATAATAAGTTGTACAGGATAAGGAACTGATGTTTTGTGTAATAACGATAACAAAATCAAATCGATTTCTTTAATTAGCTGAAATCAACAATTCAAATTATGCATTGAATTTTTATTTCTTGTATCAATTTAGTGCTCTTTGTTATTGAGAGTTTAGCGACTATTGTTCAAAAGTTATTTAATTTAATAGTTTAAGTTTATTATTATAAGTTAGCTTCTTTTCCACGAGACCAGGACTTCAGAAATCGAGTTCTATTTAAAGAAATCCGCATGATTGGAAATTTATTAATTATATCCAAATGTTAGCCTTACCATTGTTATACATGTACATATAGAGATCATTCAAAAACAACCGTAAATATAATCGTATTGTTCGTGCTATTAATGCATTCAGTGCATTCTTTGTTACTTGTTCGAGATAAAGATACAATGTGACCAAGAATTTTAAAAGAAATCAGATACTGTCTAATATTTTCAAATAGAATATACTTTTTTGTATGTTAAATTCATCACTCGAGTCCATTGACTTGTTTGAATATCAGTTGTTGCAAGTTTAATATACATTTTACCATCACTTAAAAGTGTCGAAGTATGACGCGCCCCTAGATTCTTGGAAAATTATATGTAGTGTACTGTATATAAAACATACTCGTATTTACTAAAAACAAGTCATTGTTCAATTTATGTTCTTTTCGTCGTATTAGCGTTAGCAAAACGAGGAATTGACCATTTTTGGTATCATATAGATTTGGACTCGTATATTATCAGCAGCTCGTTTTCTGCGCCACCAACATTCGCCTAAGGAATGCATTTGACCACGAAACCATGATGGCGAAAATACGTCAAAAATTGAGTTAATCTAGTATCCAAAGTTCATTCATGTCTGCTGCTAGATTAAAGATTTGATCCTCCTCGTTTAACATTGCTAGCTGTGAGGGATATTTCGAATTGCAACCCTACTTCCAAGACCTAAAGATCTAAATGTGAAGTATTAAAATTGCAATGCTGTAGTAGTCGTAAATTTCGTAATACGTACATGCATTCATAAAGTTTTACCAAATTAGAAATTGCATATTTTATATTGATAATTTTTAAAATTGACATAAAACTTTATTCAATGTCTCAATCAACAATTAATCTTTAATTCGATTTGAATATACATTAGCTTTTCATATAATAAAGATTAAATAAATTTAAATTACGATATTAATTTATATGTAAGTTAGAATTTCCTTTCCTGGAAGCATACCAATTTAAAAATGGTCTTTAACAGTACAGTTGATTGGATTCACTATCAATACTTTAAGTGTAGCTAGAGCCAAGCTATTCTTTTTAATATTATCGTTTCCGCTCAAAAATTGTCCGGAAATAAAGTTTTCTGGTTCTTGTCAGCATGCTTCGTATATTTAACAAAAAAAAACGCGCCAGTTTTGATATTCTTTTATTTATTGGTCTACAAACATTACAGCCTAATAGCTTTTCAAAGACCAACTTACTGTTAAAACAAATATAAGCAACTTTAACTTTTGCAACTAGAGATCTCAATAACTCTTTTTGTTAACCAGCAAACTTTTATTTCCGCGAAGTTAGTATCACGTTTACTTTTTTATCAAAATAATTCCGACTTTTTGGTGGCAAAATTACGAGAAAATGTAACCATTTATTTTTCAAAAAAAAAGCAAACGAAGAAGTAATGCGCAAAAAAATCAACAAATTTTTATTTAGTATTTTGTGCCAATTTTCGTAAAAAACTTGCAAGTAACATTTTCGCACTTTATTTTTTAGGTTTACAAATTTAAAGGTTGAAATTATTTTTTTAATTTATTTACTAATTTTTTAATGGGAACTGATAGTAATTTAAACAAGCTATGTAAAGATTATTGTAGCAATCATTGCATATCGCATCTTTTTTTTGTGGGTGTAATGCTCTATATTTACTGGTCATGGTCTCCCGTGTTTTTTTATTATTATTATTAACAAAGGCATGATTAGGTTTTATTCGATACTCTAATAATTATTGCATCATAATAATAACATTTAGATATGAGGAAAAAGATAAAACTTCTACTTGTGCCCTTTCTCAATGTTTTTGTCTAAAAGGTGCTACTGTATAAAAGCATAAATGCCATCTCATATGCTTTGTTGCTAAATTCTGGAAAAGAATTTGCTGCAAAGATAAATTAAAACTTGAAGAATAAAATAATTGTAAGATTGCAAAATTATGGATTCATCTTTTTTTAGTAAAAGATAACGAGCCAAATAAAAAATTATAATTCCTTTTCAATTTCGTTTTGCTATAAACAAAAAAAGTGGTTTTCTATTATACCAGAAGGATAATCTTTGGATAAATTAAGACTAGACCGGGCTTTAACATCACTATTAGAATATTAAAAGCCCGGTCTAATCTAGTCATGCGTGTTGAGCAAAAATCCTCGGCCCACCAGCTCGTTCGTTGGTAAAATTATCAGCCCGCCCGCCTCGACCCGTTGACGGAGATGTAGAGACTTCGGATAAATTCGTATTGTGTGGTTTAATTTGATTGATTGAACAGTTTAGAATTAGGATTACATGTATCAGAGTTTCAAGAGTACAGCTTCCCGCAAGCATCACGTGGACATTGATAATATTTTGCAGATATGATTGGTTTATCAAATTATTATCAGTAGACCTTATGGGTCGATCGGCCCTAAATAAGTGAAATATTCGACCTGCCCGCCCGGCTCCAACCGCATCACGATAATAAAAATCCTATCTTTTAATTGTTAGAGGATTCTGGTCCAGGATAATCTAACAATTAAAAAGATAGGATTTTATTATCGTTAATTTAATTTAATAAAGTATAAAGTAGTTGACATTTTCTTTTGTGAAAATAAATCTTTTTATTCAGATGAATTGTAGTTTTTATTGAAGACACTTACTATCGATATGATCCTATAAGAAAATTTGCACGTGACATGTCTGTAAAAAATACGAAAAAGTCTGACATTACAGCCTATTCAAAGGAAACAAAATTAATTTAACAGGACTTATTGATATGGCCTGTTCAAATTAACAAAATCAATTCAACAGGACTTATTAATGAAATCTGTAGAGGTAAAAATCAAGATAACAAATCAAATCAAAGAAAATAACTGCTTATTTAAGTGGAGGCGCATTCACTGAAGTTTAATCAAAATAATAGTGTATTCACAAGTAATATTAATACTACAAGAACTTATTAGTTTATTAGATTAAAAGCATGTCTTTCTAAAGACTTGAGAATGCTTCTTTTTGTACAGTTTTGAATTACTACGCTAATTGATTGCTTCTCCTAAAACTTTCTAAAAGCTATTAAACAATAATCGTTCGAGGTCTTTCAATTGTCCAGATAATTGTCATCCTTTAGATAATCATTATCGTTATGTACATTAATATTGAAGAATGATGGCGCTGTTCGTGATATGGAAAAAAAAGTAAGGTTCATCCAGAATGAAATACATGTATTTCTAAATTTGGCTTACAATACAAATTACACAAGGAACTAATTTTAGAGAGATTATCATGTAGGAATTATTATGGGAAGATATTCATGTGGAAATTAACGTTAAGAGTAAAAATTACGGGATTAAAGGATTTAATGTCACTACAATACGTATTTCAAAAACAGCAATAATCTATTTTTAAAAATCTAATTGAATTAGAAAACAAAAATATTATGCTTACACTTGGATCATTTTTTTGACATTATTCTGTAGACCCGATTACGGTACTTTATGTTTACATTCGGTAAACATTTGTATTTTATAAAATGGATAAGCTTCTTTACTAAGAAGTAAATATAAAATTTAATACATGAATATGCGAAAGGGCCTATTCTATCATATTCACGGATTAAATTTTGTATTTACTTCTTAGTAAAGAAACAAATGTTTGATGACTTTAGATGTTATGCACCAAATAGACTAAACATTTTTGCCAAAGATGACAAAGTCTGAATAAATTTGTCTGCAAAAGGATAAACTTATTTAGATCTATCCTCAAAATGTTGTTTTGGATAAAAAAATTGTTGTTATCGTTTGCTTTTGCTGAAAGATTTTATTAATTTGGAATATTACTAAGTTGTAAGTATTGATATTACTTATTTATTTTCGTAATTCATGATCAGCTCTAGGTCTATAAATCGCCTACTTATCGGATGCGCAAATCTTGAACATTGAAATTGAACAGATTTCGTAGACTTTTCTAGTATTATAAATATCAGTGTTGAGAAGTTAAGTGTTTAGGTTGGGCTGAAGGCTAAAACAATTTATTTTAGTATTGTGTGTAATCTTACGAATTGTAAAAAGTATAATATATTATTTTATAGGTATTTCTGTAAAAATGATTTTTATTAATAAATCATTATTTTGCCAAAGAATGGTTATGAAGTTTGAATAAGCAGATCTCGGATTAAATATTACTAATTAAATACATAAAGTGTTTCTCACAAATTTGTTGGTAAAATAAAAATTATACACACAGGAAAAATTCGAAGTTGCGAAAATTAAACACAAAAAAATTTAAAAATGAGAATATATTTTTTCAAATTCAAATGATTCAACCAGTTCCCCTGCTCGATCATGACCATTTTGATGCGCCTTCTGATACCATTTTAATGCCATGTCAAGGTTTACTGGAATTCCGAATCCATATTGATAACATTCAGCCAATTTGAATTGAGAGCTATTCAACCCAGTTTCAGCAGATCTTAAATACCATTCAAATGCCTTTTTCTCATTTCTATTTGTTCCATTTCCTTGAAAATAGCATTCTGCGAGAAAATGTTGAGCATATGGAGTGTAAAAATTTTCTGATTTTACTGAATCCTGGAAACACGAAAATGCCTTCTGTAAATCTCTATTAGTTCCCTCGCTGTAATAATAACACCGACCAAGATT